ATATATATGATCTTGGATCAAATGTATATCTGCATATTCAGGACACATGTTCTGAAGTCGATGCTGTGTGTGCGGATTACATGTGCCTTATATGTTGTACTGTTATTGTATTGAATTTCATTAGTATATCTTCATTTTTCTGCCAGTGTCTGTTAGCAGTATGCAATATGCAGGGTTTTATACTATCGTATGATTGGAGTATAGTTCACATACATGGTCATTCCCGTCTGTGTAGAATTGTAGCTACAGTACAGGTATCCCATGCCCACTATACCAGATACTGCAAATCGAACTCAAACACAGTCTTACCAGTTTGATACCATCCCTGTATTACCGAATTTCGCCCCACTTAAATCCTAGCCTACCTTATACTGCCTACTGCACCCGAGAATTGCAAAACTATGCAAATCTTCTTATAGTACCGAACTCCTTCTCACTAACTGTACCACCGTGTACTTCTACGTACTATAGTCAAGAGGCGACCACCCTTCAAACATCAGACGGATGGGTGGGGTCAGTTTGACATGACCATCGTTGTGACTCTGAAATATGGCCTCGGCTCCTTCTCGCTGAATCACTTCTTGGCGTTCCCCGCGGAGGGGCAGCACGATTGCAGAAGCGCCAGTACACACCGCGTGGTAGGTTTATCCGCTTGCGAAAACCTTGTATGATAAACCTGGTTTGTAAATCTGCGTGCAACACTTGGTTTGTGCTCACACTGTCCGGTAGCGTAGTTGTGATTACGAGTGCGCACGCGCTTGAAATAATCTGGTGCTTACAGTGTCTTCCCCTCTGTCGGAGACGGCTTGCTGTGTTGACCAGCATTTGTACTCAACATCGATACATGTCTGTAATTCATCATATCGCCCGACATACTATTAATTTCTCGTATGTCATCTGTGGGCTCGTATGTACCACGCCCGCGTATCAACCCTTTTCTGGTGCTCTCGTCAAGGATTAATCTGTGGCGAATAGCACGAGCTAACTGTGTTGCAAGATGGAGATTGTCTATGTGTTCGCTCTTGACGTCTTGTGTATGGTCATGCATGTGCGTACAACTGATTTGATTTTGCTCCGTGCGCTTCCTTCTCTGCGCCTTTGCCCCTGATACAGAACATCAATCTATCTGAAATTTCGGACAAGAATAGGAAAAGCCTCTTTTATGATCGCATCCAAGGTACACACATATACATTTCACAAATATTTATTATTATTTTATTTTATTTATTATTATTATTATTGTATATGTGTGTCTGTGTCTGTGTCTGTATTTATGTTTGTTTGTATATATATATATATATGTGTGTCTGTGTGTGTGTGTGTGTATATATATATATCCAGCACTCTGTGTGGACGCTATATATCCTGAGCTTGTCATATAATATAAAAATATTTGCGTCTGTGGTGGAAAAGGTCAATCTACTGTTCTGCTGAAATCTCGTTCTTACCTTGTCTGCGGTTGTAGTTTTTATACACATATAGTGTCGGAAGATGTACGCGTTTTTGGGTTGTGTCTGTCAAGTCTTCCCTATTTGGGCCTCTTCTCCAAGTTGTGCTTCTATCAATTGCTCTGGAATCTTCACTTTTTTAAAATGAATACCCCCTCATTGCACGCTCCTCGTACAAACGCCTCAGATCCTAACGTAAACCATGTCTCTTCCATTACCAAATTCTCTGTCACTTCGCAGAATATCTACGGGCCAATAAGCTCTCGAAAACGGACGCCACTTCCATGACCGTCAAGGAGGTGCGGCTCATTTTGGAGAAGAATCTGGAAATGTCTCTATTGGACCACGTGGCGCAGATCAAGAACGCTATGATCCTAGCCATCATGAAGGTGCGTCTATTCATCCGACCGGGTTTAAGTTTAGTGTGCGTAGGTCTATCTATACCTTTTGTTGCTGTGTGGTGGGTTGACTGCGTTCATGGTATGAAGACGCTATGATCCTAGCCATCATGAAGGTGCGTCTTTTCATCCGACCGAGTTTAAGTTTAGTGTGTGTAGGTCTATCTATACCTTTTAATGCTTTGTGGTGGGTTGAATGCGTTCATGGTATGAAGACGCTATGATCCTAGCCATCATGAAGGTGCGCCTATTCATCCGACCGGGCTTAAGTTTAGTGTGTGTAGGTCTATATATATCTTATAAAGCTGCGTGTTGGGTTGACTGCGTTCATGGTATGAAGACGTGACCCCGGTGTGAGCTGAACATGTCGCGCCTGGACCATGTCGAGCCGATCACGAGCGCAATGTTTTTAGCCGTCATGAAGGTGTACCGTTGTGTGTGTGTGTGTGTGTGTGTGTAACTATATTCTTAACTACCCTCTGAACCCACGTGTTTGGTTGACTGGGTACTTTGGTGTGGAGCCGTTGCCCCAGTTGTCAGCTGGTGTTTGCTTGTGCGTGATGCACCTCATCCTGTGAACCGTGTGTCTCTGGCCTTCTCGGTAGGCACACACCTCTCCCCCCCCCCCCGCGCGCGCTCTCCTCCTTGTTTATTCTGGGCATTCAGCTGTGTGTGGGCGGTACAGGTTTTCCCGTCATGTATGTACACATGGTGGTCAGATAGAAGATGTGTATGCATACATTTTGTATATAATTCTGTAGGATCGTGTACGTAATGAGTGGGTGTGTGTGTGTGTGACTCGGGCGTCACATGATTAGTACAACAACAGTCTAACTCGCATACGCCAATTTGGAACTCAGGTGCGTTCTAAGCCCATTGCCCTTGCACGCACATGCTCTAACACTACGTACGCACACACAACCACACTGTAGCTTAATAACAAAGGGACTGACGACGGCAGTAGCAGCGATTCGTCTTCCTCCGATTCCAGCTCGTCAGAGAACGACTCAGGTATGCAGTGGTTTAGGGTTTGGTATAGATGTTGGTTCGTATTTGGGTAGTGGTTTAGGGTTTAGGGTTTGGTATAGATGTTAGTTCGCCTTTGGATCAGGACTTTTTCTGCGAAGGGTTTTTATATAGCAAGTATTTGATTGCGACTCAGGTAAGCACTGATTTTGGTTTAGGGTTTGGTATCGGTGTCAGTTCGTATTTGGATCGGGACTTTCTAAAGGAAATGTTTTTATATAGCAAGTCTTAAAGTGTGACTCAAGTATGCAGTGGTTCAGGGTTTAGGTTTGCGCTATCCACATGTCCGACGAGCATGGATGTTAGTTCGTATCTGAATCAGGGCTTTTAAATAGGAAGTGTTCTCATATAGCATGTTTTGAATGCGACAAAGGTACTGTCTTGGCATATTCAGCTAAAGTATTATTGGAAACGGCCATGCAATTCATACGCTACAATAACAGATGACGACGTCAAAAACAGGAAGAAACACACTACAAAGGCAAAGAAAGATATTAAGGGCAGCAAACCCGATATTAGAGATACGAAGAAAGTGCAGAGCAGAGAAAAATCGATGGAAAGAGTGGAGCAAAGGCCCAGTGAAAGGCCGAGGAGCCGCAACAATGACCCCGGTAGCAACGGCAGCCGGAAGAGCGAGAAATCAGCGTTGAGCCAAAAAGACAGCAAAAATGGGATTAGAAAAACGGCCACAAATGGGATCAGCAAGGACGATGCGAAGGATAAGGACAGGGAGCGCAAGAAAGCCAACGGTACTCTTCGAAAGAAGGTAGGTGCATCAAGGATGTGTGTTCGTGACTGTCCGATCTAACCAACGGAGGTTTTTGGCTTTATAGGATTGGGCAAGCACATCAAACGTCCAGAATTCATCACCTGCATCCACCAATACGACGGAATCGTGAGCACGTGTTTCAGTTTACGGTTGATTTTTGCTTATTTGTATTCATGCGGTGCATATGTGTGCGTGAGTGTGTCTAAAATGTCCTTCGAAGCTATATTTGTATGCGTTCTAAACCATTCATATGTGTACCTGGCCAAGGTACCGTTTTGGGGCCATCCATTTAACAGCACCTAGTCACGGCATTGGCGTGCGAAGCGCTCATGCTCTTACTTGGCGTACAGCATTTATTATAAACTATTGTTTATATCGTTTCCCTTCAATGTTAAACAAAATTGAGGAAGGAGATTCTTTGCCGAATTCTTCGTATTCGGTACATGAACTTTCCCGCAATTAATTTATTATCGGTATATCCACAAAAAATGATTTATTATCGATACACAAAAATATGTGCCAATTAACAGACGAGCACGTCCTCGGGCGGCGACAGCCAAGACGGAAAGCGGAAAAGTGGCAGCGCAAAGAACGATCTCGTTAAAAAGGAAAGCGTAAAAAGAGAAAGTATAAGGAGTGACAAGGATGATAGTAAGGACAAGAAACGTGCCAAGGTTAGAGATAGAGAAAGGGAGAAAGAACGATCCGCCAGTCGGAATGGGTCGAGATTGAGCAATAAAAAGAGTAGCAAAAACGGGTCTGGGAGCGCGAACACTGAAGGCGATCCCAAACACCGGATAGTCACAGCCAGCACCACCTCCAGTGCCCAGGCTGACGAAGAGAAAGGGAGAACCTCCAGTGGGAATCTGAAACGAAAGGTATGTAAATTTCTTTTCACTTACGTTGTATGTATATTATATATATATATATATATACATATTTTGTATATATATATAGTGTGTGGGTGATGTATGTGTGTGTGTTTGTGTATTTCTATTTATATATGTAAATGTAAATGTATCTCTGTGTCTAAATATATATATATATATATATAATGGTGGTGGACCAACTGTCAGCCACCTGTCGTGTTTGCTGCCGAGATAACTGCTTAATCTTTACTGTCAGTGCAGTTCTGCATTTTACACTGCTGGTCAATTCGTTTGTGTCGGAGGTGTGAGCGATGCGAATTTCGTCATACAGAGGGGATTGGTAGTTAGGTAAAATTGTCTTGTACTTGGGTCTGTTTATAGTAATTTGTATGCGCGCGCAGCGGACCTCCATGGTGCATTGTTTGTCTTCACATTTCGCACGGTGGTTGCTATAGTACTTTGTATATGTACATTGTGATAAGTACATCTACTCTTATAGGGGTATACCCACATACATCGTCTACATTGTGATATGCACGTATACTCTATTGGGCTATACCCACATACATAGTCTGCATATGTCTAGCTTAGAACATTTACATGTAAATGATATGTGCTTCTTGAGATTTCGAGCTAATCCTACCCTGTCGCCCATTGCCATTCCTATACTCAGCGGAGCGAGTCCACAGACGATTCGGAAAACCCTCGAGAATTGAAAAGTAGCAGGACGGGTACACTCAAGAAAACCAGCAAGAGCGAACTGAAGAACGTCGTCATATCAGCCACCAGTACAAGCAACGGAGACGCAAAGTCGAAGAAGAAGGCAAACACGCTGGTGTTGAAACTCGTAAGTGCATGTCCGCATGTTTTGAGTCAAGTCCAAACGTGGCCGTATAGGATATCCGGATTTTTAAGTGTGAAAGTCAGACGCGCAAAGGCCTTTACCGAACACGCATGTCAGTACAAGGATGAATGTTGAGTGTGATTATATTGTACTGTTAGTCTTGGTATGTCCAGGCTGTGCCTTCGTGTAGCCTCTTTCAGCTCAGCAAGTAGGCACCAACGCAGGATTAGCTACGTACGTACTACCCTACCACAATCCTCACCCACCCGAACATCGCACTACTGACCTATTTTCATATACGCCCCACAGTCCGGTCCGCGCTCTCTAGGTTCGCCTAATAGTAAAAAGACTAGCAGTCGATCGTTGTCGGCTAAAAATAGCCTAGTCACCAGAACCGCGTCTGGGCTGGGGCCCATGAAGTACTCGCGGAGCCTCTCTACGAGTGGGGGGGTAGAGACCAAGCCCAGGAAGCTCAACAGCAGTAGCAAACACAGCGACAGCGACAGTTACGACAAACCCAAATCCAGCCGACTGAAAACGGACCGAGGTGAGAAGGGTGGTGATTCGGGTAAGAAAGGGTCTGGTTCGACCTCGACAGGCGCCATAGCAACGGTTGCCACCCATGAGGACGATATAGTGATGGGGGGAACCTCGAGTTCGAGCGCCAAGGTGTCTTCTGCCAAGCGTGGGGCGGAGAGCAAGAGTGCGGATCGGACGCCTAAGCGAGAGAGTATTGATGAACCAGACGTGGATGGGACTGGGACTGGGACTGGGACTGGGCCCGCAGGCGGTACGGGTAGCGGTAGCACGTACAGTGGTAAGGCGAAGGGCAGGGGCAACTGCCTCAGCATAGCGGAGCTCAAGGACATGCAGGCGAAGATTGCCCAGACCAAAGGCGCGTTGATTGCGGATATTGTGGATATGATCCGCAGCAGCAACGTGCGTACGCTCAAGGACACACCCCCAGGCATGTGCGTGAGCTTTGACTTGTCGGAGATGGACGCGGCGCAGATCCAAAAGCTCAGCAGTATGCTGGCCCTGCGGTAGCGGCGCTCGGGTCGATCGCACGCCGCTGTGGGCCGAACCTAGCTGAGCTGAGCTGAGCTGAGCTAAGCTAAGCTAATCAAGAATCGGGGTAGAGACTGAGATTTTGGCTCTTTTTGGCGTGGCTGGTCCTCTTCCATAGAGCTTAAATGTGTAGTTGTCTCAGAGGTACAGAGTGGAGGGGGATGTACAAGGATTGGGTAGGTAGATAGATGGTTGGGAAGTTCTGGGGTGGCTGGCCCTCTCCCATCTTCCCGACCACTGATGTGGTGGCGGAAATTGTTCTGTTAGAAAAAGTGTCGCGTAAAGACTTAGGGCGCGTGGGGGACTGGCTGTGGTCCTCGGCACTTAGCATGAATGTATTTATAGTACTTCAGTACTAGATAATATGTGTATAGTACTTCAGTACTAGGAATGTACTTATAGTACTTCAGTACTAGGAATGTACTTATAGTACCTCAGTACTAGGAATGTACTAATAGTTCTTCAGTACCAAGAATGTATGTATAGTGCTTCAGTACTAAGAATGTATGCATAGTACTTCAGTACCAAGAATGTATGCATAGTACTTCAGTACTAGGAATGTACTTATAGTTCTTCAGTACCAAGAATGTATGTATAGTACTTCAGTACCAAGAATGTATTTATAGTTATTCAGCACTGAACTTAGAATGTATTTATAATTCTCCTGGCTTATAGTGCCGCGCAGACTTAGGGCGGGCGCGTGGGGACCTTCTGCTTCAACCTGCACTGAGGGCAGAGGCTCCTACAAACCAAGTCTGGCAGTGGAGTTCAGAGTGCTCGTAAGTATGAGGGTGGTTTGTACCGTTTTCGCAACTCGTTCGGATGAATTAGTGAAGGATGATCTCAATAGTGTGCTGCTGGTGATTGGTGATCTCCTCACCCCCGGGCGTTGCAGAGGTTTTGGATATTATTGGCGCGTGGACTTAGCCCGCATTGAAGAGCTTTAGTCATGGTATTGGTGGGATGTCCCTACTCTCTGCGTAGAGTCTCGTAGCAGTGGGGACTTGTTGCGTTCCCGTGACCCAAACTCGGAAGGTACAACGCACTATATGCCGAATGATAGTGTAGTAATAGTAGTAGTTCACGATCGGTCGCTCAGGCTTTAGATGTATTGGTGCGATGGCTTGTCGCGCGGTTGCTACCTTCTGCTGGTACAGTAGTGGTCTCGGAGATTGGAAAAGGGGGCTGGGGGCCGTCTGCCTAGCCTAAGAAACAGTCCCACTTATACCTAAATGAGGATATCAGACTGATACGAGTTCTCTAATGTAGTGCTGGCGTGTAACAGCCGTGGTAGTGGACAAGAATCCCGCGTGGACTTGACGCGGATCACACACCATGTATTGTTGGTTCTATAGTATGGAAGATCAGGCTCTATCGAGATTTGCCGGTAGAGGGGTGGGTTTTGGTTTGTAGCGTATGTATAGCTCACTGGAATCTCATGCCGTCGCAAGAGTGCGCGTGGCTGGCTGAGTCTTTGGAAGGGACTGTTGCGCGCACTTAGTGCGAGCTACAGATTTGTTTTATCTCCGCAGTAGATTGACGATCAGTATGGGTTTGAGTTGGGAGCTCTGTAGTGACTTGAGGGACCTGGCCGTGTTCATGGCTCGGGTGGAGAACGTAGGCCGCCATTTTCGTTTAAAGTAGAGGTATATACAAGTTCTGAACTGTCCAGCCAGCCCAATGTTGCCATAGATGGTCCGCGGAACTCACCCGTAGTGAACCCCTCGGGCTAACAAAGCGTTGCCTTGAAGATTAACTGGGTTGGTAAGACCACACCTGCAGTTCAGACCAGGAGTATGCCTGCCGCAAACTCTGAAACCTCAGACTATCGACTGGAGGTCAGTTGAGCCCCATAAGGGGATCCTGGTCTCTAGTTTCTAGGATGAGTGGTGCGACCGTAGAGCCCTAACGAGGGATCCGGTCGCTATGTTCAGATGAAGTGGAGATGCATGTATTAAATCTGCAGTGAGGAACTTTCCGTTGGAGGATCAGCCAGCAAGTCGTTGTATGGGAAACTTCCGCGCGTTCTAATTATCCTGTGAAGTGCTGTCTATAGTATCGAGTGGATGAAACCCCTTGTCTGGCCGCATACCCTGAACCTTTAAGCAACCGGCCAGGGGTCAGTAGAGCTCCTTATGAGGGATCCTGGCCTCCAGTATCTATATAGTATGCGTCATGCGACCGTGGAGTCTTGTAGAGGATTCCGGCCGCTATTTGCAGATCCGGTAGAGGGTATGTAGTATCAAATCGTCCGTGCTGAACTCCCTGCTGGCAATGGTTCCAGCCAGTGTGTGGATCAGATTGATTTGCGGATCGCGCGCCCGTTGAGCCCCTCCTGTCGTCGTGAGGATGCTTTGAAGAATATGTCATGAGTTTACGGCCCCCGATCACAAAGCTTGGAAGGGTAGACTAGTAAAACCCTAAACTCTAGCAACTGAGGGTCAGTGGAGCCCCAGAGAGGGTTCCTGGCCTCCGGCCTATTGGATGAGTCATGCGACCGTAGAGCTCTCTAGAGGGATCCGGTCATATGCAAAACGCGCCTGGCGAGATGAATGAGGCGGTCCAGAGCCACAACGGGTGCCTGTGGAAGCTTGGAATGTACCATCTAGTTCACTCTTGGTAGATATCGCCTGCTGAAGGTGCTCACAACTGTACTAGCAGCGTATACTATGAACTATGAAATGAACTATAAAATGACAATAAATAAACAAACAGTGGAAAACTATATAGTTCTATTTCCCCTACCTCTAAGTAGGATTCGCCTTCCAAAAGGGCGTCCTTTTTCCCTTCCTTTTCCCTCCAGAATTTTATTAAAAGAGCTCGCTTGGCTCGATCCCGACACAACATAATCTCAATACACGAGAAATCCTTACTTTCTTGTTTGGCAAAAAATAGTATATATTGCATCGTTTATTTACAGCCTTTCGCGCGATAAAGCAATGCCTAAAGTATTGAAAATCGCACACAAGAATACGGAGGTATGGGCAAGCTCCACCAGTAGTCTTCTAGAAAGAAAATTTGAGTGTCCATAAACATTAAAATAATCACAATGCTGACCCGCATTGTCAGTCGTCGTGAGCTTGTTCTCTGACGACATACGACTACAAGTACTAAAAGTATATTCAAGGTACACCCAGTGAAGTATCCGTTCTCTGGCACCTTAGAGACCCGTGTGCAAAACGTTCTCTAGATCCAGCATTCTTTTGCGAACGGTGAGCTCGCTTTTTCATCACATATGCATAAAAGGCCGGCGATATATGACCCAACATTGGCCATTGTGACTGCCTGTTCAGTTGGTACATCAGACGACTGATAGTACTAGCATCGTTGATACATCTCACGACTGATATGTAGTACTAGAGTGAAGCGGTGCGCATGCCTATCCATGAGTCTATGTGTTCCGGTTTTTGAAGCGCAACTCAAAAGCTGTCAGGATTCGGTACACACGGCGAACGAAAACAACATTATATGTCGTACACAGCATTTGAATGCCGTATCACCTGAATATATTGAAGGTTTTACTATACGTACTCCGGTTTATTTCTTGTCACATAAGCTCATACTCTTCCGAGTTACAAGTCGGCGTGGATCAGCCACACCCAGCACAGACGCTCCAGAGCCGCTCTAGAGCACCATCTTGCGTGCCTTTGTCTATACCCACCAAGGCCAAGCTCCCAACTCGGGGCAAAGGCAGTAATCGAGGATAGTTTGAGGCAAACCTAATTATTTCGCTGGATCCATATATAATCCAATTTCGGCTTTCTTTTTCTGCACTGTCGTGCAGAATAATACGACTCCCGCACAATAGTGTGAAGCGATAGTATGCACTAGCCCGCCCAATCATACCCCGCTTGTGCAGTCGTCTTCGACCCGTACAATAGGAGCGGTAGCCCTGGTTGGGTACAATAGGAGTGGTAGCCCTGGTTGGGTCCAGTCAGTTGCACCTCTCTGGTAGCTTAACAGCCGGCCCCAAGACATCACACAGACTAGCAAACCGGTACATTTCGCCTTGAAAGCAAGTAGCACCCTTCCCCACTTTTAAGCCACACATCAGTGCACGACACCGATCAAGTAAACCAACCCCCCTGTGATGAAAAATGGGTTCGATCGGAAAGAGACCAAATTCTTCGACCTGAATTGTCCCGTATTGGAGTTTTCACTTGCCTCTATATACCCCAATTCCAGAAAGCCGGGATTCTATCACCGGAGAGATATAGGTATGGCTGTATGCACTTTATTTCGGAAAAGGGCGACCCTGCTACCTTGGCTACATCAGAGTGGCCTGAGTATACGAACTGTCGATACCCACCTCACCGCAGCTCGTCACAGCCTTGATGCGCTATTAAACGTATCATTGCATGTATGTGCATGGTAATACATGCATGCATGTACGGTGCTAGAGAACTAGGCGTACTTTGGCTCTGCAATGTATCCCATCATTCCCCTGTATACCATATCTTGACACGCCCGCACACTTAGCTGTCGCATATCACCCGGCCCCACTCTGAACCGACTGAGGCTGTACTATGTGGTTTTTGGTTGTCCCGGCTCCTAACTGCGCTGGTTTTACTTTAGAAAGCACGTGAGTGTCCTCAGATTGACCTAGTGCTAAACTACTGATTGATATACTCTGTACTTTACAGCCTTACAATCTGCGGTTGCATAGCAGGCTGCCCAATAGTGTTGGGTACTGGTGTGAGTGTGTGGGGGGGGGTAGCACATGTTGGCGTGATACATTCATCCAACACACCATCCTTCACTCTCAACCGCGCCAGTCCAGGACCAACAGCGAGAACGAACACATCTGCAGAAAGAATAACACCCCCACGCGGAAGTCAACCCCGTCATTCACAGTCATTGTGCCGTTGATGGGTACCGGCCGTTACACGATACAAGCATCCCACACATGCACCTCTCCATCTCAACCGTACCAATCCAGGAATAATAGTGAGAACGAACACATCAGTAGGAAGAACAACACCCACACGCGGAAATCAAACCCGTCATTCACTGCCTTGTGTAAAAGCTCGTTGCCGGCGGTTATATTTTCCGTGGTGTCTACGGCCGTGTCGTATAGTAGGTCGAGGTCTTCCGCCTGCTCTTGCACGTTGCGTGTGAACACCTGTTGCAGCTTGGCGATCTCTAACATCCTTTTCTGAGCCTCCATGGCGGCACTGACCAGTGTGTTCATCTCGTCGAGCAGGCTGAACGGGCGTGTGAAGGAGGCGTGAATTGAAAATTGATTGTTGCATATAATGTATGTATATACTTATATATCCTTATAAAGCACAAATGTAGATCGTTGCATTTGTGTTCTGGCTGCATACATGTGGATACCTCCAATATATATATATATATATATATATATATATATATATATATATATATATATATATATATATATATATATATATATATATATATATATAATATATATATACACACACATATATATATATATATATATATATATATATATAGTGTGTGTTGTGTGTGTGTGTGTGTGTGTGTCGTGTGTACTATACGTAGACGTACTACGTACGT